TCTTTCTCTCGTTCTCTCTCTCTCTCTCTCTCTCTCTCTCTCTCTCTCTCTCTCTCTCTCTCTCTCTCTCTCTCTCTCTCTCTCTCTTCACTCTCTCAATCTCTCAATCTCTCAATCTCTCTCTCTCTCTCTCTCTCTCTCTCTCTCACTCTCACTCCCACTCTGTCTTTCTTTCTTTCTCTCTCTCTTGCTACATGTATGTCTGGCTCTCCCAAAGCATTCCTCTAACCTTCCTGTCACATACTTCTTTGAAGTAGTCGTCACGTTACCTGCTGTATTTTGTGTTTTATTCGGTTGGCACCATTAATTAATAGCGAGGAAAGCAGAAAAGTCTGTCAACTACGCCTTGTTCATCCACTAACAAAAAATGAAAAATACATTACTCCCGAAAGATACTAATCTTGGATCAAAAATGTCTGAGAAGCGAGGTTGTTGTTGTTTATGTATTTTAGTATAATAAAATTTTACGTCGCATGGCAAACGGGCAGTTATGCCCGATATTATGAAAGCGATGGCAACCACGTACATGTATGTCAAACTTAATTTAATGATTCCTGCAAATCTGGCGTGTTGAGCTACTGACCCATCGTCGCCATTTTGTCTTCGGCTGACAGTGAGTAGTACATGTACACTGTACATGTATCTGAATGGAGTTGTTAACTTGTTATCACGTGACAAGCTATACAGGCATACTTTCTCCAAGGTTACTCTACGCCCGGAAACGTTGTAGGACTATTGAAAGTGTGTTTACGTCCATTATTTTTAGAGTATTTTAAAGTAAAATGATTTTCTTGCTAACTACAAGTACAAGCTAGCAAACAAGAAAGTCAAACTACTTTACGCGTGCTATGTTATGTCCACATACATGTACGTGTACTTTTACATCGACTTACAGTGCGCGATAGGGTGGCTGCATTCCATCACACTGTTGCTGCGTCTGCCCGCTTGAGCCACCCATCACGTTTCTGAGGCCAGGCAATGCGATAAAGGGAAGGACGAGCACGCTATGCTCTCTATGTTCAACTCATTTCTGTAATGAAGGTGATTTCGTTGATAGTCGTCGGTTTGGGGTCGTTGCAGTTCTCGTGCTGCAAGAGGTTCTTTTAGGAAGTTTCGCTTGTGTCAGCCCACCATCATGCCTGGTGTAGCAAGGTGGCAGATGCAGCGCTGAGTGGAGAGTGAAGTGGATTGCTGATTATGATCACGTGACACACAGTGCTTGTATTTTTGTATTTTTTGGTACATGTATTATTCATTTTATTTTCGCCCATTGTAAAATGTTTTGACAATGGGTGACTGGCCCGAGACGTCAATAATGTTTTCGACGTCACTAATTTGCTTTGTTTTCCTAGCTTACTATTGCCGTGGCTGGCTCAACGCCCTTGTCTCAGGGGATTCTGTCCCTGCATTAGCTATGCTTGTCACATGCTATGAGATTGTGTCTAATAATAATAATAATAATAATAATACGAAGTAAAAAACTTTCTTAATAATAATAATAATAATAATAATAATCAACGCAATAAATAGAGTAAGCTGCGCACTCAGTACAAACACCATAAGCAAAACTTGTTTTCATGTATAATAAATAAGCTTGTTCCTAAACGTTTTCGTCGCCATCTCATCGTCGGCATCGGCTTGTTCGTCATTGCCTTCGTCTTTACCGTCTCTTCCTTCTATCCCGTCATCATCGTTGGTATCTGCGGTTTCGTCTTCTTTGACTTCCTCTGTACCGTCATCCGGTGTGTCCACCTCCGGTGGCAAAAAGCGTGGCCGGCCACCGAAGAAACCACCGGATGGTGTGTCTGCGGGACCAGTGACTCGCTCTAGGGCGAGGTTAGCAGAGTCTTTATCGTCTCCGTCGTTGTCGTCATCGTCGTCGTCAGCGTCTTCCTCATCTCCCTCCTCCTCTTCATCAACATCAACAGCCATTGGAACGTCAAAGGGAGCATCATCGCAGCAGGCAGTGCCAGCAACGGACGTGCCTTTGGTACGGACATCTACATCGGCCTCGTCTGGATTGGCAGTAGCGGCAAGGAATGTCAGGTCGGTTTCATTGTCACGTAATTCCAAAGTATGTACTGGTTCTAGTAGCGTTGTTAGGGTGTATGAATCTTCTATCGCCAACCATCTTGTTCAGAATAGTGATTGTCGTTCTAGTTATGCTGATGATTGCTTTTCTGTTTGGTCTCGTTCACGTAGTCAAAGGTATTTGCGTGTATTGGAGTCTATTTACATTTTTACCACCAGGCCGATTTTGTGTAGGCAGAAAAAGAATTTGTTTACGTTGAAATTGTTTATGAATTTAGATCAGTAGTTCTCGTTTGTGGTTGCTTGGTAACTTTCTAGTGGTGAATTTATCGCATTTGTTGTCACCTGATATCGTTGAATGGTGTAATGTTTCTTTCAGCTCTCATTTTATCACGCTAGTTAGGGTCTAAATTATTACTTGCATTGTGTGTATATATATTGAGTTAAGAGCTTTTGTTGATTTGCCAGTAATCCTCTGATGAGATGGCGACGAAAACGTTTAGGAACAAGCTTATTTATTATACATGAAAACAAGTTTTGCTTATGGTGTTTGTACTGAGTGCGCAGCTTACTCTATTTATTGCGTTGATTACATTTTTATCTCCACGGAAGCTTTTTAATAATAATAATACTCATAAAAAGGACACACTTCAGGCTCATTACAAACATCTTGAAAGTTTTTGTCTTCACAAGTATACTTTCAAGCCTTCTCATCAGGTGAAATACAGGCAAGGGAAAAGGAACAGGAATAATAATAATAATAACTGGTTTGAGGGAAAGAGACAAACGGGAAAAGTCTGAAGAAAAAATTGACTGTCACCACCAGGACTCGAACCAGGGACCCTCGCTTGTAGCCAGCGATGCTCTAACCACTGAGCTATGGTGTAGTCGTCATCCCAGCAGAGGCCGTTCAATATTTTCTTCAGACTTCGTAACTCACACTTCCTGTGAATCCACACAGGCGGGAGGGACGCAGCCCTCACTGTAACCCACACACCTCACGTACAAACTAGTGTAGCGGGCCGCAGTCTCTCTCGGAGGCAAAAATACAAGGGTCTCAGTGAACACACTGTAACTGGCAATTGAAATGTACTGGAAACGAAATATACTGATTGGCAACTAAATTAACTAACTGGCTACTAAATTAACTAACTGGCTACTAAATTAACTGACTGGCAACTAAATTAACTGACTGGCAATAAAAGAATCGTGAGCAGCAGCTTTTATGCAAAGGCAGACTCCGTACGCTTATGTACGGGGATACGCTAACGTATGGGGATTCATAGGTGCCAACTCTTTTTAATATGTGTACAAAAAAAAAAAAAAAGGATACAGTACGGGGATATGCTAACGTACGGGAATACAGTAGCGTACGGGGATATGCTAACGTACGGGGATACGCTATACGCTACACCTCCCCTCTCAAATACAATCACGTCCTCGTGATTCGAATACTCGGTGATAGCTGGACACCAACAACTGGCTGTTATTTAGAAGAAACTGGCGGCATGCATGGTCGCGTCGGAATAAACTCGACGATAAGAGATAGGCAGAATGGATGGATGACTTGAATAATATAATACAGGTATGGAGTCGTGAACATTATAGTAGATCGCGAATTACTGGGAGAGCGTCAACCGGAGTATGGCAAATAATATCGGAAATGATAACGTTTGGAATAGACAGAAGAATGAACTGATAAACAAATCATAAAGTAGAAGCACACCAGGTTCACACGATCTCACGGGGTCAAAAGGGGAAAGAACTGTCCTCAAAATAGGACATGAAACCACAGCACTCTTGCTGCACAACGCTGGCACAACCCGCCAGGAACATCGCAGTTCAAAAACCGAACTGAATACACTATACTATAATTATAATTATCACTACATGTATTCACTATAAGGGCATTGTCACACACATTGTCCCAGGTTAGCTCGGTAGACCGTGGCTCACCATGATCGGACGCCTACCAAACTAAACTGGATTCACACACTCGCATAAAGGAAGACTGAAGAGAATAGGAAGACTGAAGGAAGACAGGAAAGAAAATGCCATACCTGGAATCAGCATCAGTAACCACGGCGGCGGCTGGAGCTATGGCGGAGGGCGAGCCAGGTTTTATCTTCATCTTGATTGAGCCGGTCACTCAGAGAGGCTAGCGCGGCGTCAGGCAGATCGCTCCCTCCTCGTCTTGAATCGTGGTCTTCATATTGTCGATAGCATCGCTTGGCGCGACGTAAAGAGGGATGGTCTAGCCAGGAAGAGTGTTGACGAAAATCTGCATCCCACCACGGAGACGAAGTACCAAGTGAATAGTGGACTCCTGCTGAACGTTGTAATCACTCAGGGTTCGGCCGTCTGCCAACTGCGTGCCGGCGAAAATCAAACGCTGCTGGTCTTGGGGAATATACCCTCCTTGTCTTGGTCAGCAGCCTGCAGGTCGTCGTTCTCCTCAGCTTCGCCATCACCACCGGTAGTATACATGTAGGTAGCGCGTCGCTTGGAATCGCCATAGGAGTCTCCAGTGAGTGCCGTGCGGAGAGAAGGTTGATCCACGCTAGCGCCCTGACTGTGCTGCAGGCTAATAAGCAGGGCCAAGCCCAGGAAGGCAAGAAACATGATTCTCATCTTGATTCGTCGCAGGGAGCTGTAGCAGGTTGAGCCATGGGGGTCTGAGAAACGTGTAAAGTAACAAAGTTAGGTATAGAAAGAAACAAAAAGGAATTTACCGCTGCCACCAATTTGTAGCGCGTAAAACAGGTGGGGTCGAATCTGACAAAGTTGACTTTAACCACCGCTGCCACCAATTTGTAGCGGGCCGCAGTCTCTCTCGGAGGCAAATGCACACGGGTCTCAGTGAACACACTGTAACTGGCAATTGAAATGTACTGGAAACGAAATATACTGATTGGCAACTAAATTAACTAACTGGCTACTAAATTAACTAACTGGCTACTAAATTAACT